CAGGAGGCCCAGCTACACTCTGGGCTGCCCCCTGGACTCTGGAGGTGGTGAGGGACAGGAGGGTGCTAGCAGAGCGGTGATGGTTTATGTCGGTGTTACTGTGTTGTGTTTTTATGTCCGTCTCATGTGTATTTTCAAAGTAGAAGCCTGTGAGTCCAAGACAAATTTCCTATGGGACATAATTAATCTTGAATGTAGTCAAAGTCACCTCCATCATGGACAACACCTCCCACCCACTGCACAGGACTGTGGAGGAGCTGAGGAGCTCTCTCAGTGGAAGACTGAGGCCCCTTCAGTGCAAGAAGGACCGCTACCGCAGGGCCTTTATCCCCACCACTGTCAGACTCTACAATAATCACTTGCATTAGGACTGAAAAACCTGCACTACTACTGACACTGTTTCTTGATTTCCACTTTTTATTGTACATAATATATCCTGCATTTAACATTAACTTTTGCACAATCTTGAGTGTTTCTATCCATGCCAGATGTGACATGTACATTTCTCCTGTGTGAGATCTTGAGTAATGTGGGGCAACCTAGAGTGATGGCCGCACACTAGACCGCTCCCCGATACTCATCCTATTATTTTTACTTTTGGGGTCGTGCTCTTCTTATAACGTGCAAGTTTTTGTTACTTTTTCTGCGCAGAAGGCTTTATTCGAGTGGCAGTCGCGGGAAACATGCCAAACACCAGTAAAGTAAACTTTTTCAAAAGGGGCCACGGCCACGAGGCTAACTACAAAGAGGCTCGCTAGCACTCCTCTACCGCAGCCCGAGGCTGATGCTAGCAGCGGAGTGTAGGGGGAAGAGGACCCGGGGAAGAGGACCCGGAGATGAGCAAAACCACGTTTGACGAGCTGAGGAAAATGAATGCTACTCTACAAACCATGGCGGCTGATATTATTACTATTAAGGAGACTTGAAGGAATCCTTGGAAAGCATCCAGGCCCGCATGGGTGAGGCGGAGCAGCGCATATCGGACCTGGAGGATGGCCACGAGCGAGCTAACTCCAAGTTGGAACCAGAGTTGATGTACTGTGGTCACGGGTGGAGGACTTGAAGAACAGGAGGAGGAATAATGTTGGTATCGTTTCTCTTAAAGAAGGACTGGAAGAGCTTGGGAAAATGGCAAAATATGTGGAAAAGATCTTAGAGGACGCACTCGGGCTTACTGGCAGTGAATTTGAGATTGAACGCGCCCATCTCATCCCTATTCCTGTTCCAGACCCATAACAAACCGAGTGCGGTACTTGTTCGCTTCTTACGCTCTTCTGCAAGGGAGAAGGTACTACAGGTGGCCAGGGAGACGCGTGGTATCCACTGGGAGGGGAGCAAGCTTTCAATCTTCGAAGACTTCACGAGAGAGCTGGCGGAAAATAGGAACGCGTTTGTTGCGGTGAAAAAACATTTACGAGAGCTACAAGTGAAGCACCGACTAGTCTATCCTGCCACTTTGTTTACTTGGAATGGTCAGAAGAAAACCTTCACTGATGGGAAAGAGGCTGAAAGGCATTTGTGGCTTCCACGCAAGTGCACAGAGGGGATCCTGTGCTTTGACCAATCAACGCCGCTGATCAGAGCAGCAGCAGAGCGGAGTCAGAGCGGAAAGGAAACAAGCAGAGTTTGTGGCAGTAAAGTGTGGATTTAAAGAAAACCAAAGGATTTAATAAGAAAATAAGTTCAGGATGACAAGGGACACTAAAATCCCCACAAAATCCGATATTTCTGAAAGCTGTAGTTTGTCAGCTGAGGTCGAGCTGTTTTAATTTACATTGTGTTCTATTGGACTTTTCTGAATTTCGTGAATTTAGTTTGCAGTATCACAGGCGTCCCCTGTGTCCATGGGTGGGACAGCTATAAGCTAGTAATACCTATCCAGTTATTATAGATCCATGGTAACCAAGTGGCTACTCCACCTTGTGATCTTTCCTGCTCCACCTCTGCTCCTGTAACCTAAAGGGCTGTTGCTGATTATTACTATTTTTTACTTTTTAGAATGATAAATTTTATTTTTTGTATTTGCTACTACTGGACACTTTAATTTCTCCAACAGGGATCAATAAAGTCTCTATCTATATCCAGCAACTTGGCACAGCCATTGAACAGGAGTGAAACAACATTCCACAGGCGACAATTGACAATCTGATAAACTCTATGCGAAGAAGATGTGTTGCACTGCATGAGGCAAATGATGGTCACACCAGATACTGACTGGTTCTTAGTCCACAGACCCCCAATAAAGCAAAATAATGCACATTTCAGAGTAGCCTTTTATTGTGGACAGTCTAAGGCACAACTGTACACTAATCGTGATGTCAGATCAGCTTCTTGATGTGGCACACCTGTGAGGTTGGATTGATTATCTCAGCAAAGCAGTGCTCACACTCACACATTTAGATAGATTTGTGAACAATGTTTGAGATAAATGATAATATTGTGTATCTGGAATTAATTTGAGATCTTTAAGTCCATCTAATGGAAAATGGGAGCACAGACAAAAGTGTTGCGTTTTTGTTGAGCACACACACAAAGTTTAGACACGCTTTCTCATTCAATGAGTTTCCTTTCTTTTCATGACTATTGACTGTAGATTCACACCCAGTCTGTGTAAGGGCTATTTGACCAATACGTGAGACCAATCTCTCACGTATGTGTCTCCGGCATTCTGAGCGTTATTATGGGATCATGGGCGGGTCATTCGGTACATGCGTCAGAAGCGTCAATTTTAATTAAGTTAACGCAATAATTTTGACAGCCCTCGTAATAATTATAAGATAAGATGTGCTTTATTTATCTCACAAAGGAGAAATTTACATGTCACATTGGCATGGATAGACACACTCAGATTGTGCAAAAGAAAGAAACATGTTACATGCAGGATAATTATGTACAACAAAAGTGTCAAGTGGCAATTGGAAACAGTGTCAATAGTAGTGCAGGTTTTCACACAGTGACCATTTAAAGTGACAGTCTGACAGCGGTGGGGATAAAGGCCCTACGGTAGCGCTCCTTCCTACACTGAGGGTGCTTTATGCCGCTTTTCCACAGTATCAGTACGGTACAGTACAGTACACTTCAGCACGGTTATTTTGCGTTTCCACTAGTGGATGGTATGGGAGATTTGAGTACTTTTCCGTACTGCCTCAGCCTTGGTTCCATCCCCATAGTACCCGTGCCATGACGTCACGTCGGCCTACTGCCTTACACTGATTGGGAAAAACAACTCAACCGCCATCTTTAAAACCGGGTGCTCTGCTCGGCTCTGCTTCGGCTACATTACGTCCTCCTGACTCCAGAGAAATGGAATCGCACAGAAAGCCCCAAAAGTCCTGGTCGGTGGACGAGGTCCACACGTTGCTCTCTTCAGGCCAAAGAAAGAATTCAAAGGCAGCTCGAGGCTCAACCAAGCCCCGGCGATCCAAGATGGCGCCCTATTCAAATGAATGGTTGTGCTCAGTGGCGCTTTGTGACGGCATGGGGGCTGAAAGATTAGCGGAAGTTGCCTGAAACTCGCAAAGATCTATGGGAAACTCGCAAAGATCTATGGGAAACTCGCCTGTATTTGGGCATCGTCTGGTCCTCCCGGTTCTGCGCAGTGGATGATCTCCCATAATGCGTTGCGCCAAACACGCGTGTGTGGGTCTCACACCGGGTCTCACGCACGTGCACAGAGGGGCTCGGCTGTGCTCTGACCAATCAGAGCAGTTCATCAGAGCAGGAGTTAGAGCGAGAGCCAGACGAGTAGAGTTTGTGGAACTAAAGTGTGGATTTAAACAAAACCGAAGGATTTAAGAAGAAAAAAAGTTCAGGATGACAAGGGACACTAAAATCCCCACAAAATCCGACCTTTATGAAAGCTGTAGGTTCTCTGTCAGCTGAGGTTGAGCTGTTTTAAAATGCATTGAGTCCTATGGGGAAAATATCTGGGTAGCCCACGTGAATTTAGTCTGGTTCAGTCTGCAGTACCGCGAGAATCCCCTGAGCACATGGGTTATTCAGCTACAAGCTAGTAATACCCTATCCAGTTAATATAATAGATCCATGGGCTCAACACAGTTTTCAGGGAGATCACCCAGCTCTGGATTTGTGACTAGTCTGGGGTAATCCTGGAAGTGGTAGATGTGTTAAGTGTAGTATAGTTGTAGCTTTGGAATCCAGGGTTAGTGAGTGAGCAGAGTCTAAAGCTAGCGCTAGCATTAGCTATAGCCTAGCCGTATCCTCGGACATGCAGCCCTCCTCTGCACACACAGGCTTCTGTTGCTACAGGTCCCATTCAGATTGTACAGAGCAGTCAGCACCATTGACTTCACAGTTTCCGAGTCAGTCTTTTAAGACATAAGCTTTTTCAAAAAACTACTTGGTCTAAGGCAAATTGTAAGTTTCATCTGATCTTATCGTCGGCCTGTCAAATATTCCTCTGATGGCTCTACTCTGTTCTTGCAAATTAACTATAAACTATATTATTTCTTAAGGTCTTCATCTGCTCACATCCTGCCCATTGTGCTTAAAGTGTCAGACTGTGATTCATGCAGGAGGTAAGTGCATATTTGACTTTTATTGCCCCAGCAGCAGCAGCAGCAGCAGCAGTGCGTCTCCTGTAGATGCAGCCAATCAGCGCGCTCCCTTTGAAAGCGCAGCGATGGGAGGAGAATCCGCTCTCAGGACTTTTCTTTGGGGGGTTTTCAGACTTCTTTTTCATGTGTCGCTTAACCACAGGAGAGACGCCACCGCCAGCGACTTAAAACACTCCCCAAAAAAAGCAATAAAGAACCAGCCTTTCTCTCTCTGGACACATCGGGAATCTAACAAAACTTCTTCCCCCGCGCGTAAAGACGATAGCGCTCGAATCTACTTTTTGCAATGGCAGCGTGGAACTCGGGACTTTTATGAAGGATTCTTGCCGTTTACAGTGGGAGATCCTTCGCTGGGTTTTGGAGTCAAACCACGAAACCAAGCAGCAACATTGTCTCGCTATTACGAGCTGGAAAACTTCAGACATGAGTGCGTTGGTTGTGTGCGCCCTGCTTCTTTTACAAGTAAGTCATTGTGTTTTTGTTTTTTTTGGGTACATAGGAATTTGCCCATACATATGCCACTGAAGATGGAGCGTTTTGAGATAGTATTTTCAAGTTGAAGCTGAGTTTTCTTTCCTGGAGAGACGTTTTGGGACTATGCGTTTTTGGATATATAATAAATTATATCTTCATACAAATGTGGTAATGTATATTTTTGGAGGATTTGTGTCTGGACTATGCACAATTATTACACCCATAGACGTCATTCAACGCTTGTGAATGAAGTCTATGTATGAATTAAATCTTTAAAGTTCTGATCACTCTACATTATAAAATTAGAAAAATTTAGAAAATTAGAAAATTATAGTTGGCTATATTGTTGGCATCTGGTAGAAAAAATGGTCAAAATATGAACTTTCGTGAATAAAAACCCCAGTTACCTAATGTAACTAAGGTTCTATGAATATGTTGCGAAGCCCTTTAGGCTTCGCTAATGCATATCTCTCGGAAGCATCGCTTCCCGCCCTGAGAAGATCAAACGATCCACCCTCCAATCACCTTCACGTCCTGGCGTAGGTCTGTCCCCTATAAAAAGGGTCATGCACCACAGCTCTTCTCCTTTCGAACTCAGCCGAATAAGAGAGGGCAGGCCTGCTGGGCTCGAAGCTAAAGGGCTTCGCAACATATTCATAGAACCTTAGTTACATTAGGTAACTGGGGTTTCTATTTCATATGTTGCTTCGCCCTTTAGGCTTCGCTAATGCATAACATAGCGAAGCCCAGACCAATGTACTCCCAGCAGGCATGAACTCTGGTGATTGGAGCAAACTCGTGACCCTCCTGCTCATACCGCAACCAAGCGGTAGAAACGGAGGTCCTACGAGCCATAGAGAAAGGGATGCAGGGCTACCTCTCCCAAGAGTGCCCGCGCATTCCCCAACCTGCAAAGCAGGAAAGAATTCAGAACAAACCTGGGCAGGCAGCCTCTCCCAAGAGCACCTGAACCCCAGGAATGTAGAGCAGACTGCAGAAGGGTCTAGGCCGCCTCTCCCAAGAGCGCCTACCCCTACTGCAGAGGTGTCCAGGCCGCCTCTCCCAAGAGCGCCAACACCTCTCCACATAACCCTAGACGAAGGAGGAACTAGGGCCGCCCTGCACTCAAAACCGAATGAGCCACAGAGTCAGAGGCCACATCTAGTAGGTAAAACTGCACAAAGGTCGAGGGGGAGGACCAAGACGCCGCTCTGCAGATCTCCTCCACCGAAGTGCCACGGAACAAAGCCACCGAAGCGGCAACCCCGCGAGTGGAGTGAGCCCTCAACTGGGCCGGAGGCGGCAAGCCCTGAGCCTCATACGCCAAACGAATAGCAAGGCAAAGCCAGTGGGCCAAGCGCTGTGGAGACAAAGCAGCACCCTGACTCCTGGTGCCAAACCCGACAAACAACTGATTCGACCGTCTGAGGTCAGACGTGCGGTCCAAATAGCATCTCACAGCCCTGATCGGGCAGAGACTATGACGCCGCTCTTCCTCCTCCGAAGCATGCGGAGGAGGGAAAAACGGTCTCACCCTGATCACCCTAGATCTGAAAGATGACGTGACGACCTTGGGCTGGAATGCCGGGTTAGGCCACAACTCCATCATGCCCTCCCGATCGGGGAGGGACAAACAAGACGGCTGCATGGAAAGGGCGCACAGATCCCCAGACCTCTTGGCCGAAGCCAACGCCAACAACAATGCCGTTTTGTAGGACAAACAGGCAATGGTCGCATTGTCCAGGGGTTCAAATGGAGGCCCCGACAGACCAGCTAAGACCACCTGAAGGTCCCAAGACGGAGCCGACCGCCGGAGGGGAGGTCTGATCCTGCGGGCCCCTCGGAGAAAGCGCTTCACCAAGGGGTGGCTACGCGCAGAGTGGCTACCAAACCCCACGTGCCCTGTGGTAATGGCCGCCGCGAACACACCCAGAGTGGCGGCCGCCCTTCCCTTCTCCAGCAAAAACTGGAGAAAAAGCCAAGACCTCCTGGATGGAACACGAGGTGGGGTCCAGGCCTCTGTCCACGCACCAAGAGGCGAAGAGTTTCCAGCGAACCTCATACGCTTTGGTGGTGGATGTAGCCCTCCCACCCTGAATAGTAGCGACCACTGAGGGAGGGAGACCAAGGCTCAACAGTTTCCCCCTTTCAGCCTCCAGACCATGAGCCTGTGTCCCATGACAGGGCGTGAGTAAAGGGCTCCCCCTGCCTGTCTCAGAGCATCGGGACGGTCCGGAATGGGCCAAGGCGGACCGAGCGCCATGCTCACCAGGTCCGGATACCACCTGGCTCCCGGGCTGTCCGGCGCCACCACCAGGATGGAGACCCCCTCCCTCCTTACCCTGTAAAGTAGGGCTGCCAAGAGCCGGAGAGGCGGGAAGGCGTAGAGGAGACCGTTGGGCCACGACCTGTGCGCCATGGCGTCCACCCCGAGAGGGGGCTCGTCGCTGGACCTGAGCGAGAACCAGAGTGGGCACTGTGCGTTCTCTGCATTTGCGAAAAGGTCGGCCACCGGTGTTCCGAACCGGAGCCAGACCTCCGCCACGACCGCTGGGGCGAGACCCCACTCGTCCCGCAAGGCCCCGCCCCTGGACATCCTGTCGGCGGCCACGTTGCGCTCGCCTGGGATGTGACGGGCCCTCAGAGAGGCTAGGTGAACGTTCGCCCACAGAAGAACCTCCACTGCTAGCCTGTGAAGGGCGGGGGACCTGGTCCCCCCCTGCCTGTTCAGGTAAGCTGCCACAGTGGTGTTGTCCGTCCGAACAATCACATGTTGGCCCTCCAGTCTGGTCACAAAATGGGCCAGCACTAACCGCACCGCCTCCAACTCCAGGAGGTTGATGTGCCCCAAGGGGGAGGACCAAACGCCTCCTGCCGAGTGGTGGCCGAGCACGCCTCCCCAACCGCTCAGTGAGGCGTCCGTGAAGACCTCGATGTGGTGGTCCACCAGACCCATTCGAACTCCCTCCTGGAGTCGACCTGGGGACAGCCAGAAGGCGACGTCGTTCCGAGCCCTCTCCGACAGTCGCTCCCTCCGTGATAAACCCCTGAGGTGTGAGAACCACCTCTGGAGATATCGCATGTGCAGCAACCCCAGTCTCACCACTGGATGGGCTGCTGCCATCATGCCCAAGAGTGACCGGATCTGCCGCGGTTGGACCCGAGGTTCGCCCAGAACGACCCGGCCCAGGTTTTGAACCGCCGCTTGTCTCTCCGGCGAGAGTGAAGCCGTCATGCTCCTGGAATTCAAGACCAGCCCCAGATACGAAATCTCCTGGGCCGGGCACAGGGAGCTTTTGTCCATATTGATCACAAACCCTAGCCGGGCAACGTGGTTCATCACTCTGGACGTGTGATCCTGCGCCTCCTCCCGAGAGGAGGCCAGGATCAGCCAGTCGTCTATATACGTCAGTATCCTGAGGCCCTGACGCCGAAGGGGTTCTAGCGCCGCCTCCACACACTTGGAGAAGGTGCGGGGGGCTAGGGAGTAGCCGAACGGGAGTCGGCAATACTCGAAGCACCCCCCTCCCACAGAAAACCGGAGGAACTTCCTGTGCCCCAGAGCAATGGGTATGTGGAAATACGCGTCTCTGAGGTCCACGGAGGACATCCAGTCCCCGGGCCTGATGCTCAGCAGCAGCTGTTTGACTGTGAGCATGCGAAACGGTCGCTTGGCTATGCAGCCGTTGAGGACGCGCAGGTCCAGAATGGCCCGCACCCCCCCGCTCTTTTTGGGAACAATGAAGTATGGAGAGTAAAACCCTGTCCCTGCCTTGAGCGGGTCTACCTCCGCTACCGCGCCGCGCTGCAGAAGCGCGTCGACCTCCCTGTGAAGCGCCACGGCGTCCTCCGGGCTGCATAGCCCTGTCTGGAGAATGCCGCAGAAAGGAGGGGGCCGCCGGGAGAACTGGAGAGCATAGCCCCGATGCAGCACTCTGCGTATCCACGGTGTTCCCAGGAGCCCTGCCTGTTCCCATACGGTGACAAAATGAGTCAAGGGAAGCACGGCGGGATGGGAGGAGGGAGTAAGGCCCGGCCCGCCCACAGACGTCCCTCCTGGGGAGGCATCGGATAGTGGGGGGCCCCTGGGAAAAGGGCTGAGCCCTAGCTGCGGCCCTGGGCCTTTTCCCGGGCGGCAGAGTGAGGGCAGACGCGCTGCGCTTCCGTGGAGCAGAGCCCCCGCACCCCAACACTGCGGACTGAGGGGGGGCCGGGCAGGCCCACTTATCGCTCTGGACCGTGGGGGGCCCCTGAGAAGAGGGCCGAGCCCTGACTGCGGCCCTGGGTCCTTCACCGGGTGGCAGCGTAAGGGCAGGCGAGCTGCGCTTACGTGGAGCCGAGCCCCCTTTCCCCAGCACTGAGGACTGAGGGGGGGCCGAGCAGTCCCCCTTAATGCTCTGGATAGTGGGGGGCCCCTGGGAGGAGGGTTGAGCACTAGCTGCGGCCCTGGACCTATTTCCGGGTGGCAGCAAGAGGGCAGGCGTGCTTTGCTTCCGCGGAGCCGGGCCCCCGCCCCCCAACACTGGAGACTGAGGGGGGGCCGAGCAGTCCCCCTTGTTCTTCTGGATAGCTGCGGCCCTGTGCCTCTCACACGGAGCGCTGTGAGCTGGTGCTGCTGGCGCACAAGGAGCGTAGGAGGGGAGCGCACGGTCACGCACTCCCTGCCCGCGGGAGGCGAAACCACGGGGAGTGCACTGCGAACCTGGAGCCTGCCTCCAACGTGCCACCTCGCAGCGCGTTGAGAGAGGCTCCAGACGCCCTGTAGAGGAGCAGCGTTGGCCAATTGCTGAGTGAGAGGGAAAAGGGAAAGAAGTTGGCTCTTTATGGGAGTAACGGGCCTGCTTGCGGCCTTTATTAAAGTATTTTCCCTCCCCTCCCTGTAGTTGGAGAGCCGGGGTGGCTGCCGCTCCCCCGTTGGTCACGAGCTCGCTGTCTCCCGCGCACAGGACCCAGAGCGCCTCCAGGCTCTGAACGATGCGGGGGGGCCG